TCCCACTAATGTGTCCAGCCAGCTGAAATATACTGCCTGCATTGCTTACTTATATATACAGTATATACTTATATTTAAATATAACATCCTCCAAAATATAAATATGTCTTGCACATTAAGCATCAGTAATTGTAAAACATTTGGTTTGATCACAGGTTGGCTTTTAATGTGCATTTAAGCTATTGAAACAATCTAGGCTAAAACCAACCTGCTTTCTATTTGAGGTCAGAAAGAGAAAACTGTGCAAATGATTTTTTTATGTATTGGACTATGCTGATGTGATTTATATGCACGCAGCTTCTTCAGTTTTGAAAAAACAGGATTTTCTATATCATGCTGCATTGTATCATGTGACAAGTGCAGGCTCACACATTCAACACATCATTTTTTGAGTTTCATCGATGGTCTTTTTTATACCAGTGATGAAAAATGTATATGTTACTATTGATTGTAAAGATGTTAGGTAAACTTCCTACCTATATCTTTTATGCTATCATTCCAGCAGCTATAGCACTAGATCTTCCGCTCAAATTCTTTTACGTGTTCCCAGAATGCACTATGAATTAGATAAAATGCCATACTCTTTTTATGCATCCTGAGCTTGGAACTAGAAACACTACCCTCTCTGAACATCTTTAAAGGTCTTTTACAAACTGCCTAGGAGGAAACGTGTTGTTGCTTTGACATAATCTTTGACTTGAGTTGTAACATATCATGGTTAATACTATAATGGCCTATTTACCTTTATTTTTTACTATTTCTCCTTGCATTGTTTTTATATATTTTATGTGTGTTCATTTGAGAGGACACCTTGTATTTCAATGGGACCTTCCTGGCTAAATAAGTGTTAATGTAATAAAATAGCATACAACATATTATAATACTGAAAGCAACCGTTCTTCTTAATTTTATTGTTAATTGTCTTAATGAATTATAATTAAAAACCATGTTTTACATTATAGAATATAGGGTGGAAATTTTTTATTTTAGTTCATTTTTATTATAGTGGTTATTTTCTTTATTTAAAAGTTAATTCTTAGTTTTATAGCATGTCAGAAATATCTTCAAACATTTAGTTTTATCTGACAAACAATCCTAATTACAAAAGTATTCAGTTTCCTGTAATGTAAAACAAGGACATTAATTATTCCATTTTTAGAAATGTCAAATTTCAGTAAGCATGTTTCCTTCTGTCCAGGTCCCTGCCAGCCTGGTGGACTCTCAGTTTCCTTCTTCTGTAAGAATCAGTCTGCATTGCTGTCATGGAACGCCAGTTATATTGGAAACTACTATGGATGTGCCATGGATGGGAATGGAGACATGCTGTGCTGTCACACCACAAATCCCACCTGCATTATCCAGGGTCTTAATTGTGGAACAGTTTACAATTTCATTGTCCAGTCCTCAGATGGCACACATAACAGCTCCTACAGTGACGTGGTGCAGAAAGGAGCAGGTATAGTTGCATGTTACTTACCAAAGACTTTGGTGCTTACCAAGTGACTTGGTAATGTTTGCACTGGAATGGAATAACATGAACCCCCCTGCTCTCCCCATCAGTTCCCTGTCCTCCAGATGCTGTTGATGTACATTTGCTGCCGATGCAGACAGAGAACCAGGTGTTGCGCTTCAACTGGACAGCAGTCCCCTGCAACAACACTGAGTATTTGGTGACATTGACAGGAAATGTCCTTGGAGACAGCCAGGCTCTGATCCAGGTTTCTTCTTATTGGACAACCATGAGTTATTTTGAGATTCCTCTCCCCTGCAGCTCATCCTACGTTGCTACAATGCAGAGCAAGAATGCTGCTGGTATCAGTGACCCGTCAGTGCCTATCATTGGAACAACAGGTAAACTACTGCTCACTTGAACCTGAGCTACTGTTCAAATGTGGTATTTTTTTGTTTGTTTTGTTTTGTTTTTCATTTTACACCTCAGGCCATCTTGTGTGTAAGTGCCAAGTATAAATGTCTTTAATATAGTATTGTATTTATCCATAGTAAACTGAGTAAAGCTGTCCATTCTCCATAGAGCCACGGTTAACTGAAAATAGACCTTTTTATGGCTGACATTTTCACTTGTCATACACAGATATAACTAATTGCATTATAATCCCTGCAATCAATCCATCAACATCATTAGGTACACCTGTGCTATCCCTGTTATGCCAAAGCAAATTTTCATAAAAGTAACTTAAAGCTACAATATGCAACTGAGTTCAAGCTAGTGTTAGCATGAGACTTAAGATTAAAGCTTTGTGCTCAAAATCCATCCACTCTGCTCCACCCTGTTTTTGAGGTATTAATCGCTTTGAAAGTACAAGAAGTTAACAATGAAATGAAAACTCCTATTCTCTCAACTGTCTACTGAAAGCAGGACATACACATATCAACCATAACATTATGACCACTGACAGGTGAAGTGAAAAACACTGATTATCTTGTTACAGTGGCACCTGTCAGTGTGTGGGGTATATTAGGCAGCAAGTGATCACTCAGTCCTCTAAGCTGATGTGTTGGAAACTATGGGCAAGCATAGGGATCTGAGTGACTTTAACAAGGGCCAAACTGTGATGACGACTGGGTTAGATTACCTCCCAAACTGCATAGCTATGGTGTGAAATGTAGAATCAAAGGGAAAAATGGGATAAAATTAGAGTGAAACAAAGCTTTAATATTATTACACCTGTGCTATCCCTGCAGTGACGAGTCAAAATGTCTGCTGTGATTAAAGTTTGTATGGTGGCTTTGATATGCCTTTTAACAGACCTTTTGCCATGTACAGTAGTAGAAACACAGGTGTAAATGATAAAATAATGAAGGCTGAATTGCATTTATCTGCTGCAGTTGCGGGGTCTTGTTATTGTGCATGCTGGCTCACTGTCACGGCTTAATGGGACACCTGATAGAACAGAGCCAGCATCAGTGTTAACTGTAAACACTTGTGATTTTCCTATTATGGCGACTCAGGACGTCTGCTGTGGAAAATTAGATGTTCGTTTAGTCATGAATATTTAAGGTTAGAGAAAAACATGATTTTTGAAACCACATTTTTAGCTGCTTTAACAAAAATTTTCCTCTCCCAGCTCCTTGTCCACCATCACTAGTGATATACAATGGCAGTGCAGTTTCATGGAACGCTTCAGTGTTTGCCACCATGTACACTGTATATGACAACAGTGTTCGGCCAATGGCTCAGCTATGCAGCACCACAGGCCTGTCCTGCTCTCTGTCCAACGTAAATTCCACTAACCTGGTGGTCACAGCCAGCAACTCCTTTGGAGAAAGTAATACGCAAAATGGTAGGAAGTGTGTGTGTGTGTGTGTGTGTGTGTGTGTGTTTGGGTGGGGGACGTCAGGGTCAGCGCGTAAAGCTGCTGATGTCATGGGGTGAACTCAATTATAGAGCCAGATGAGGATAAGTAAAACACTGTCTCTTTAATAAGAGCACTGGTAACAAAATGATACAGAAAACTACATGAACTCAAAAAACATTCTCTGGGTCGATAATACAGTCCAGGGTCAGAGCCAGCAAGCTTACACAGCTGAGGGATCCACAAAGGAGAGGTCAGAGAGGGGAGTCTGATAGTCAATACACAGAAAAACACGAGCAGAAACAGAGGGCTAGGCAAAACTCGGTGATCAAACAGTAATCCGGGGTCAGAGCTGGAATCACAGGAAACAGGTAAAATGCTGGAAAGTCTGAACAGGAGTTAGAACAATCTGGCAGCTTCCCACAGGGTGAGAAGCTGCTGTTGTGAGCAGGTGTGGGTAATGAGAAGCAGGTGAAACCAATGTGGATAATGAGCTAAAGTTCCCGGGAGTCAGGGTGAGCTGGGGACAGGAAGTAGTATCAAAATAAAAGCATGAGACAGGAAGCAAACGGGACAGAATCACAACAGGGAGTAGATGATAGTAGATGTCTGTCTCACAGTGCTGTTACCAAGTTTAAGGAAATAATTCCATCATTATTTACTTCAGTGCCGTTTGCCAATACAATGGAGGGTGGCCACCTTAACTTTACTCCCACACAAGTCGATAATCTTGTTGATAGTACTGCAGCCTCCCTATGTACAACACTTGATATTATTGCCCCTCTGAAAAAGAAGGCAGTAAAACAGAGGAGGCCCCGTGGTACAGCTCACAGCTCCTCTCCCTAAAGCAGGCCTCACGAAAACTGAAAAGGAGGTGGCGCTCCACTAAGTCAGCCTAGAAAGATAGTTTAATAACATCTAAAAAAGCCCTTCGTAGTGCCAGAACTGCATTTTATTCATCACTGATAGAAGAAAATAAGAACCCCAGGTTTCTTTTCAGCACTGTAGCCAGGCTGACAAAGAGCCACAGTGCTGTTGAGCTTAACATTCCCTTAGATCTCAGCAGCAATGACTTCATGAGCTTCTTTACAAATAAAATCACAACTATCAGAGAAAAAATTGCTCGGACCATTCCCATAGCTTTCATGGGTGTGCCATCTACTACAGTGGCTTTAGAAACATCTGTGAGACCTCATTTATACTTGGACTACTTCTCTCCCATAGAGCTCTCTGACTTGACCTCAACCGTTGCTTCATCTAAATCAACCTGTCTTAAGACGTTTTACCCCTAACCAACACGTCCATATTAGATCTGACCAACCTCTCTCTATTAACAGACTACGTTCCACAGGCTTTTAAGGTTGCTGTAATTAAACCTCTACTCAAAAAGCCTACTCTTGACCCAGGTGTTCTGGTTAATTATAGACCTATATGGTGACAACATGGTCAGGTTTAGGTTAAGATTAGGGTTAGACAAGTAGTGGCTACAGTTAAGGTTAGGATAAGTCTTCAGGAAATTTATGTCAAGTCCCTATGAGGAATGAAACCAAATGTGTGTGTGTATATGAGTGCAGAATGGGGAGTATGCTGTTTTACAATTTGATGGATGTATAAATTCACATTACATTTAAACACAATTAAACTTTACTGTACATTTAAAATTAAAAGCCACATTATACTACATCATCAAAACAAACTAACTGATCTAACCCTTTTCTTTTAAGTGGTAAAACAAGGACGAAGGAGGAGAGATCTCGGTGGACAGATGCCAATGAGTGGTGAGTTTAAATTTGTGAAAAAAAACAAACTAATTTTTTTGCACATATTATCTGAAACACAAAGGATTTCTAAATGTTGCATGGATTATTATTTTTTTCTAAGGAGGGTTAAGTTCTCAGTGCTGCCTTTTACTAGTTACTACTTTAAAACCTTAACTATCATGCAGTCTCAGTTCAGTGCTGGACAAACAAGCCATACGTCAGCTGGGACCTAATTCACACCTCTGGCTTGTTTTACCCCAACAGGCCTCTCGGCTTCAGTGCTGGATGTCAAACAACAAATGTCAACAGTTATTTCTGAATGGTCTCAAGTGGATACAGCTTCCCGTTACAGCCTGTTTATCAAGAAGCAAGGCAGCTCCAGTAATCATCATGAAAACACTCCTGTAGACAAAGCTGGAGGTCCGCATGCATCTCTTGATTAAATGTGATGGTCCTATTCTCCAAGTAACATTGTGATATTAACAACTGACAAATACTTCACTTATCATACACAACTTTAAATCTAGTAGAACATGGGAATTAGCAAGGGTTGATCTGATGTTTACATTTCTGCTGGTTCACCATAGGCTCCACTGTTACTTGTAATGTATGTTGGTCATGTAATGAAAAGCTAGAACTGGAACTGCTGCAATGGTCTAGCCACTGCTAACATTACAGTCACAGGTAGCATAGCGGGCAAATGTCTTTCAGATAAAACACTAGGCTTTGTGCATTTTAGGTTCCTTGATTCTGTGCTTGTGTAAAAACTCAGTGGAGATGCAGGTTTTGCCTGTTCTTGGTTGAGGCTATACATTTCATATTCAGACCTTTGTTTCTGTTGCCTTTTCTGTTTTAGTCACCATTGTAAATTATATATTAATCACCTTAAAGGTAAAATATCAGTGTTTAATATGTCCTTTGTTGCATGTCTAAATGTAGATTTAATATGGAAAATTATTTTCAAACTATATTCTAATAAAACTGACATTCACTTAGTTTATTAGGTACACATGGCTAAAACTACTGTAGTCTCATAGATCAGCAGTAAACCCTCCTTCACTGAGGTGATGTTTAGTTTGTCCAAACTCTTTTAGAGGGATGTTGTAGAAGCAAATGTCCATGTCTAAATCATGCTATATTCAAATGTGCAATCTTTTTGGAGCCTGTAGTTTGTGCTGCTGTTCAACAGGACTGCAGAGAACTGTTTAAATACATGGGATGGATGTAACTACAGCCTCCAACATGACCATATAGTTGAACCAACACCTCTCTGAAAGTGTGAAAGCTCAAAATTATGACCTTTATGGATGGTTTAATGCAGGACTGTTGGACTAGTTTAATTTTAGCTATTTGTACTAAATAAACTGCTGACAACCTATAATGTAGCATCCAGCCTTTGTGATTTCATTCAGTGTGCTGTCCATTTTTTTAATAGTGATCTGTGCCCTTTAAAACAAGAACAATACTTGTTCGGAAAAGTGTTTTATTAGAAAATGCAACAGAGCAATAACCAAAACACAGCACAAGCAGGGCTCAAGTGTGTGTGGTAAAAATTACCCTTTGCAGGCTGCCCTTTAGAGGATTAAAACCTTCTCAGGTTGTCTACACACAATCAGACAGAATTACTTTGCGCTCGCTTGAGCCATTGTCGAGGCACATCGCAGCTATGCTCAGATTCTGAACTTGAACCATTGTCTTTGGACTGTTTAAAGCATGTTTGATCAGAAACCAGTGGATAAAGAGGCTTAAACATGAATAATATGGACATATGCACCATAATATTTATGTATTGGCATTTGTACAGCGTAAACTTAAAAGCTGCTCTTTAAAATTTATATGACAGTATTGAGCTGAGCTTTTTAGCAGTGACGTGCCCAGCCCAGCAGCGAATGCAACTCTGACCACTTATGTGTAGACAGCCTTCTAACATTATGTACAAACCATATCCTGTGGCAAAAAATAAAATAAAATAACCAAAGAAAATTAAAATGCCATTTCTGCCACTTTTCATATTTCAAGTGAAGACTAACAATGGTCTAAACAGGGAGTGAAAAAGGCAGAAAAACAAAGATAAAGCAACATTACATTGGCCAAAGACGACAACTCCAGATGTACGATGTGGTAGCATTCCTTCTCTTTAGCACACGTGACAGACCAGACAACTGGATAGAAAAAGGAAGAACAACACAGGAGTAGAAGTAATATTGCAGCAAGGTCACCTTTTACTCAGTGCTCTGACTCCTTCTGCGATCACTGTGTTTACTCTGGTCGTTACTAGACTCGCGCTGATGTTGACTCCTCTCTTTGCTACAACTACGTTTGTGAGAACGTTGTTCTCCGTCTCGCTCCCTGTCCCTCTCTCTGCTGTGGCTGCGCTCTCTTTTCCTGCTTTTCTCCTCACCCCCAGTTTTGTGCCTTCTCTCCCTGCTTCGACTCCGGCTTGACCTTTTGGCCTTCCTGTCTTCTCGGTGCCTATCCCTGTCATCTTTATGTCTTCTATCATCAGTCTCTCCCCTGCTCTTCTTATCCCTGGATCTCTCCCTCTCAACTCCTCTATCTTTATGGTGATCCCTGTCCTTCCTCCTGCTCCTGTCATCCCCGCCATCCCTTTCTTTGTCTTTGCGTTCGCTCCTTCTGTCCCGGCTGCCGCTGCGACTTCTTCTGCGTTCTCGACGGTCTTGGTTCCTGTCTGTGCTGCGGGACCACTGTCTCTCCCTGTCCCCTCTGTCCCTATCCCGGTCCTTGCCATCCCTCTCCTTCCTCTGGCGGTCTCGCTCCCTTTCCAGCTCTCGATCAAAGCTGGGGCCGTGGCGGTCTCTCTCGCGGTGGTGGCTCCTGCTTCTTGACCGTTTGGGTGACCTTCGAGGGCTTGGCGTTCGCCTGGGTGTCCTGGCCAGAAAAGGTACCATTAGCTTCAGGGAGATAAATGTGTGTTTAAGCAATTAAACACCATCTAAAATTTGTATTTAAAGTCTAGCATGAAAGGTGTCGAGTTGCCCAGCCCTAATATATAGTTCAGAGCAAAGCCGTAATCAGACAAAACAACTGACAGAAGCTGTGTGGGTGTAAATGGGCTCTACAGGCAATAGTAGCTTTTGTCAACATTTTGCAGAGAGTCATGTACAAAGTGGGCAACTGACATTCTTGTACCATAGTTTAAAGGTTTTGCCTTTCATATACAGAGTCGGAGCTGTTAAACTACCTACAATCCTAAATCTGAAAAGGTTGGGACGGTGTGTAAAATGAAAATTAAAATTGAAAACAGTGATGTGTAAATCAACTGTCCTGTATCACAGTGAAAACAATACAGCAGCACATTATTGGAAAGTGTTGCAGGCATCAGAATTGAAGTGAGTGTTTATTTTGAACAAAGAATAAAATTGATGAGGTATCACATCAAATAATGTGCTGCTGCATTGTTTTCACTGTGATACAGGACAGTTGATTTACAAATTCCTATTTTCAGTTTTAATTTTACACACCTTTGGGGTTGTAGATTAAAAAAACAGGGATGAAAAAATGAACCACCTTTTACATTCTAATTTGTAAGAGAAAGGGCACTGATGGAGCAAGCTGAAGACGGGATAACACTAAATAGATTGAATCATTTACTGAGTCACCTGGAGCGGCGCCGCTCCCCTTGCCTCCCCGACTCTGAAAACGCAGCTTCGTCCTCCTGTCTCTCCTTCTGAGCAACCTTACGAGGCCTCGCCTTTATCTGCTGGTCAATAATCTTCTGCACAGGCACTGGGATACGTGGGAACAGAGTGGAGAACCACTCCAGCTTGGTCAGGAAGGAGCGCAGCATCTCTCCAATGGTCATCACACAGCCACCTCCTGCCTTCACGTCAAGCTCCTAGAATCAAATGGTGGGAAAGAGCCATAGAAAAACTCAATTAGCACGCACAGGCAGGAAGTAGGCAAATCTGACTGCTTTATCAATCTCTGAAATCAAAAAGCAAATTTGTGATGATCAAGTACTGAACCTTCACCTCTGTTCATCTAGCTTAATCTCTTATATCAGTGAGTGTGCCTGGCCTTACTTCTGCTAATTCTAAATAAAGAAAACAAAACTATGCCTATCATAAAATGTTTCTCTCATATAGACTGGCTGACAATTCCTGGAGTCTGTATTTACAAAGTGAGCTTTTACAATCTAACCAAAGTTATACTTCACTGTATATGTAAGATCTCTCCCCTTTTCTTTAACATTATCTATTTAAAACTATATCTTCAAAAGGTGGGGGCAGCTAGTCTTTACAGACCATAAAGGAAGGGAGAGCAAAACACAGACGCATCCTCATCGTGCTAAAGGGACAGAGAGAGAGAAGCCTTGGCTTCATTCTTTAGTCTCCCAACAGCACAGTGAACTCTTGAGGCTAAAAACTGCCCACAGTGTAAACACAGACTAGAGCAGGTAGGTAAGTGCACACCAGTTGAATCAGTTTTATATGGTATAGAACAGCTGCTTTGCACTCACACACACAAACCAACAGTGCTGAGATACAATATCCAATTCACCTGCTGCACAATGGGCATCTAAAGAAAAAAACAGGGGAATTAACCAGTTGGGCAGGATTTCATATGATCAATTCAAAGAAAATACAACAGAACATCAGAGGAGGCCTGGTTGCACAGCCTGTGACTGAATTAGATTTTAATAAAATACAATGGATTTGGACAAATTTGTGTAATACAATTATCTGTGTGTATCTGCATGAATTCTCCAATTGCAATTTATCCCAAATCTAGTTTCGTGCAACAAGTCCTGATAAAATCTTGTCAAAAACAGAGAGCATGCCTTGACATCACATTGGACTCAGCATCATATGTAGTACTTACCCTGATAAATATCAGCAGCAGAGCAGTAAGCAAGTAACCTAGCTATTCAGGTTTAGAGGACAACAACTGTGGACAATTAAGCCAAATGAAGGCAAAGGTGAAAAATCAGCTATGAGCATCACAGAGCATGAGCATCAACCTATTGTGTGACATGTGGCTGTGCCTTCAATAGAGAAAAGAAACATCAAATTATTACCCGTGGTGACATACCTCCTCATCATCCAGGAAGCCATCGTACCATTCTATCAAATCTTTTGGGGGCTGAGTGTATCTAAGGCAGAACACAACAGAGAACAGAACATGAGCATTTGTGTCACAGAATCATGTTGTAAACGTTGCACAGATACAAGCTGTGTTTTTCTGGACCTGACCCAGTGGCACTTTATACATGGGCAATCATTTATGCAGAACTTTTCATCATTTGGCTGCAGCTGAAATTAAAACATTACAATACAATGTGCCTTTATCATACTAGGAAAATACAGTAACATATTAGTAATTACAGTACCTATTATGTATTAATTGGTATTTGTAATTCACAGAGGACTTGCATTAAAATGGGTTTTTACTAAAAACACTGCTTTAAGAATAAAATATCTGCCTTCTGAAATGTGGGAAATTCAGCAATCAGCATGCACAAAAGGATCTACTAATACACAAAATCTACACAATTCCAAAAAAGAAGTGCTATATATAAGAATTACAGTGTCCAAATGTGTCAGTCTCACACAAAGAATCATACCTGATGTACATAAAGCCAAGTGCTCTGATGTATGGAGAGTCTGTGTGCGTGATGAGACCCATCAGCTGTTTGCGAGTCAGCTTGAGAGTAAACAGTTTGTATAGAAGACAGAAAGCAGTAGACACAATACCACCAGTCCCGACTCCACGTACCTGCCAAAAATAATATTTGAAACTCACTGCACATTATTCAAAGCCAACCTATCCATACTGGCTGACCCTTTATTTTAACAATAGTCAAAAACTAAAGTACAATAATTCAAGTCCTAATGATCAGTATAAACTGGCCTCACTTGCAAACCATGTCAAATGATTTCAACAAAATGCTTTAAATAGCATGCAGACAGGTAAGGAAAATACAGAGGGGGGAAAGATGGGGAATATAAAAATCACGTACTTCTCACTTACCCCTCCGCACATTCCAGTCTGGCCTGCAGTTTTTCTGCTTCCCTTTTCCCAAGGCTCAACGTGAGTCACCTACAAGGACGCAGGGAACATTAATAGTCTAGTTTACACACACGTGTGAGAGACCTAATTTGAGCTGTCATAAACACCACACCATAAAAAACATTACACGTCCCTGTAGACTTGCATTATATGCCTCAAGAGAGACGCCATCGTTTAAGTTTCTCTATTTAAATAATACTATAACACTAATGAGTTCTGACCTGCTAACTTTTTAAAAATACCACAGGAATAATCCAACCAACCAGTTCTGACTAAACTAGACCTAACGTTTTTAAACACGTATGTATAAAACAACAGACAACTAAAGCCACTTTGATTTAACGTTAGCTCTATAATTAGCTACTTTTAAGTTACTAACAAGAGCAATGCGTTCCAAGTTAAATATCTGTGCGCAGTTACATAAAATAAGCGGACATCTTACCAAGTCCTGAAGTTAAGCTATGTTACTTAACATTAGAACGTTCTGATTTCAGTTTCCCCAAGACTGCAACGCATTGCTATCCACGGAGAGGCTACATTGACCGGGTCAGCGCTTAACTAACTAGCATGCGGGTTAGCACTTGCTAATATTACCTTGAAATAGATTTCGTCCACAACTTCATGGTAAGTCTTTAGCTCATAAAGCTGCACTTTGAAATACGGCGAAGACAGCACATTGGTAAGAATCATTGGGTTGAGGTTCATAGTCTTTTCGTTGCCCCACAGGGGCAATACATTTCCATGTTTTCCTGATGCAGGCTTGCTAACGGCCTGTGTTGGTAGCTGGTTTCCGACGTTAGCCATGTTAGCTGTCTCCCACGCCGCTAATCTTGGTTTATAGTTACCGAATTTCCACTTACAGATCCATCAATATTCGATTAGAAACTTTCGATTTTTAACAATTTCGTCCACTTAGTTATTGTTGATTTGAGGTTAAATTAATGATAACAACTTCCCGCCGACACCGTAACCAACATAACGCTAAAGTGCTGCTGCGAGGCGGAACCGGATGTGTAACGTTAGTGGTGCTGCACCGTGACCTGCTACGTTAACAGCTAAGCTCAGTATTTAATTTAGAAAATAAAAGCATGTACACACAAACTACATTTTACAAACCAGTGTATTCAATACTTCAGTACAGATAACGTGTACACAATTAGTATTTAATTATGGTGCATTTAAAGACATGTTCACTGCTTATCTTTTTATACAAAGGTAATTAGTACAGGTTTATTTTGGAAATGTTTGTTTCGTCTATCAGGAAATAGTTTTGCTGAAAGGCAGCACAAAATGAGCTGGGAGTTATCCATATCTAGAGTGCACTTTTTGAAAGAAATCTCCAGATTCGGCCTTGAACGCTGCAACATTTAATGTATAGCTATATTTACTGTAGATATCTTATGAACATGGGCTTTAAACAGCTGACTCTGAATACATGGGCTATAGTTTACATACTATAGATATGACTGTAAATATAATGTTTACTAAGTTTGGTCTATCTAGCTGTGATAAAAATAAATTCATTTCTTTTCATTTTCTATACACATACCAAAGGAACAAAATACATAAACTTCGTGGTATTTTAAAGGCAGTCGTCCTCCTTCACAACCAGTGTTCATCTGGTTGTGAAGGAGGATGACACACAATGGTACTGTAACCACCACTCTGTCAGTTTTAAATTACTTTAAATATATGGGACTGTAGGGACAGACACAGCCCCCCCCCTCCAGCCATTTATTCCACTATCAATAATCCCAGAGAGAGAAAGAGAGAAGTGGCTTACACAGTGCATCCTGCTCAAAGAATCTAAATAGCAATTTCACAGTTTTTAACATCAGTGGCATTGTCTCATATACACGATGTCCAGTCTAGACATAGTGTATAACACATACATATAAGACCTGCTGTCAGCTGCAATAACACAGTGACAACCCCATTCTTTTATAAATAACAATAAAACTAACACTTATGGTACAAGTAACAAGGTAAAGCAAAATCCAGAATGTACCACAGTATAACATGTTGGGTACTTTAAAATGTTTTTTTAAATAACAGTGAAACACCTTAACAGCTTCCTCACAAAGAGAGGTGAACAGAGGCATTACAGTAGTTTTCACAGAGCACAAGAAGACCCATAGGATTGTCAGTATACCAGTTATCTTCAAAGTGTTCCAATACTGGGGTGTACAACTCCACTTCTTGAACACTAGAGGGATCTCCTGGTCAACAGAAGTTCTAGGTCAGATGCAGAAGGATTATGCAAGAGAAATTCAATTTCTGGAATGAGGCAGAAGCACGCTCCGATGGCACCTCCACTGCTCAGCATGTATCCCCTGCATCAGTGGAATATGGTACCCTTTATGACAGTCACACGCTTCCCAAAGCCTAGCGCTTCATCACCACCTGCTCAAAGGCTCCAGCTGCAACCCTGAAAGAGAATGCCACAATGTGTTATATGGCGGGAAATGAGGGGGGTTATATGACATAGCTTTGGGGCATTCTGTTATGCACAGAACACTATGGTGTGAAATGCTGAGTATCTTGAAATTTTACACATTAGATATACAACAAAAGTTAAATAAATGGTTAACGAAAAGATTCCTTATCAGAATTGACATGAAGTGTGTAGGCCTACGTATGTGTAGTAAACGCCTGCTGCATGGCACCCACAGTCCACAGTTACATAATCACACCCACCTGGCATGCTGGCTTCCCAAAGCTGTACTCCCACCAGGACCGACAAACAAGCTGAGCCCCTCTTCTGTAGCAATACACATACATACATAAATATTAGTAATATGAAAATTGCCTGGTTCACACTTAGTTTCTAGGATGTGTAAAAATAAATGACTACCGATTAGGGAATGTTGTAGGGTAGTCGTAATAACAGGGGTATGTACCATGGCAGTGACAGTGTGCTGAGCTATCACTTAGGTTAAACCACACTTGAGGTATTCATAGAACTGATAAACAACATAACCTCTGTAATTTTTGATCAAATACACCTAGTTTAGGTTGAAGTATGATACACAATGTTATTCATGTTTAAGATGTGCCATCGTACACAACTAATCACAATCAAATCATCTTCAGCAGAATTTTGCTGACTCTGAATCAAACACTTAGAACATTGTCTTACTAAATTTCAAACCTTAAAGTTATTTTTGATAACATCAGGATGGCAGGAAACCTTCCAAACCAATGTACTAAGTTACAGATTAGATGTACACACCCTCTGCACTGGAGTCCAGGAAACCATGACTGAAATCGTGGCTCTGCAGGATTTTCTCTATTACATCATCAGCATCCACCCTGGTGGCGTTGACTCTCTTCAACTGATTCTCCATGGAGTTCTGCTTTACTAGGTGTCTACTGCAGAAACAGAATAGGGTGGAATATTACAAATGTGTCTTTAAAGATAGAAAAACAAAAGACATAAGACAATATATTGTATCATTACGGCGTGAGCCCCAGGATTGTTTATAGTAAGTTACACAAAGGTAAAAATTGACATATAATATGTGAAAAGATGAGAACAAGGAAAGAAAATAAAAAACAGATTCAACATTTCTGGTCGTTATAAAGTATTACAGATGATAGCCAGCCAGCAAGCAATACTGAGATAACAAAGAGTAACTATTTAGTATTAAATACTGTACATGATGACAATTTATGTCTTCCAAATCATATAGAGCTACAGTATGACGTGACATCAACAGTTTGTCCATGACATGAATCAGGCATGGATGAGCAGTGAGCTGTGCTGTTTGTAAACTTCTTCACTTAAGGTGGATCTTTTTCATGAAATGTTTTATAATTAGGATGTCAATTTCAGAACCTTTGTAACTGTGTGTATTACCTTATAACCCTGGCGGAGGTTGAGGGGTATTCAGGTGTTTGGTGGCAGGCGACATAGACTGGGGGGGTAGTCCTGCTCTCCCTCTCTCCTTTCTCTGCCTGCTGATCACCGGGTTCCAGGATGCTGCCAATGCCTGTGGAGGCTGACCCCCCTGACACACTTCTCCGATGGCTCAGGCCTGTTAAGCTGGAGTGATCAGAGCTGTAACCTACAGAACAGGAGGAAAAAAGCTATATTAATGAACTGTGTAAGTGATGCGGTTATAATTTCTTTTGTTTGAAGAGAACAGATACAGTATGTGTGTCTGTGTCTGGTACCTGAGATTTTTGACTGCTGACTTGCATTACTGGATGATCTAGAGTGACCATACGTGACCAGCTCCTCTGGGACTGATACCGATGTTTTTGGAGTCTCTAAATAAAATCAAGTACAAGCCACAAAGTGGTGAAATCTGCAAATCACAAGTTGTATTAAGGTGATTTACAAGGACAAAATGCATACACAGCTACAGTAAATCTGTTATATCTAGAACTAGCGTTGGTTATTCATAGTAACAGCCTAGAAGATTTAATTTTAGTTTCTTAACGTTTTTATTCTGAGAATTTTTATTCAGAGGGTTATGAAAACATTACTGTTCATTACTGAATAATCACAGTACCTCATGAAGGATGGTTCTCTGTAGAGACACTACTGCCTACGACTGTCTATCATAGAACCTTTGCTTTTGTCAGGAACTTTATCTGCTGTAAGAAAAATCTAATTCTTTCAAGATTTAAAGTAAGTATGTACATACCCGTGAATGAATGGGAAATGTTCCCTCCCTTTCTGTCCTCAAGAAGACATTCTGCTTCCGCCTGTGGGATTCCCAGAATCACGGCTGTAGATGGAGGACTAACGGGAACACAGGAAGCAGTGACACTACTTAGAAGCAGAGTGACACCAAACCCGTGGGCGAAATCATGGTGCAAAGTACAAGGCAGCTAGGGGGAGCTTGACTCATGAGCTCCTCTGAAAACATGATTTACAAAATTTTGAGGATGGATGCACAAACTAAAATAGTCTCTCTCTCTCTCTCCTCTTGCTGCTCTCTGCAATGCTGAAATACACACAACACCGGTTACTCTTCATCTATTTTTTTGTTCTTATTATTCATATTCTTATTAGTAGAAATAATTCTAAATAAAGCTAAATCACATGCTTTATAAATATTGTATCTGTCATTTAGTCTGATCACAAAAACGTGAAACAAAAGGTGACCTCCCCCAAAAGCTGTTTAATAGTTGGCTAGATGGATAGATGGCTAGACACATTTTAACACAAACCAGAAAACAGCAATGACAACTGTTTGGTCAGATACAATACTGTAAATGTATTAAAACACATTTGTTTAGCAGACATTAACACAGGAAACCCCACTTTTCTGCTGCTGAGATGCAAATGTTAAACACAGGAATGAGGGTGGAGACACAAAGAGTGACAGACAGCCAGTGAAAAAAACTAAGCGTCATCACTGCACATTACACTGTTGTAAATCCTCCACACAATATGACTAATACTGTGTGGGACGAATGACTTGGTTATTGTTGAGTGTACACATTAGCCGACTCCTAGGCAGTGGTATGTGTATTGTTACACTAAGAGGGAGGTGGCCCGTGAAAGAATATAACACACACTTGTTTGTGTGTTGGTTGCTGGGTGAAGAAAGTGAACTGGTTGCACATGGTCCAGGCTTTCCCAGGAGTGTGACGTTACAGCACATCTTTCATGACAAACTGCTCCACATACAGCTCTTGACATTTACGAAAATGTAAGCTCTAGGCAGAGCAGATCAGCTGTTGCTCATTAAAGAGGTCTGGCAGATTAATATCTGGGCGAGGTTTTATTAGCTCTCAGATAAATGTTTGATGAGATCTTAGGTACACAAAGCAACACTAAACTGTGCGTGTCAGTCACATGAGACGAGAGTGTGTTTGCAGTGACAGACAGGATGTGAAAATTGTACTTTACTCTGTGGTTGGATGCAGGCGTCTGTGTGTGGGGAATGTACTTCACCTACAACTACAACATTCTGTAGCTGCATAAAGTTAAACCTAACAGACAAACTGGCACATCTTTAGTAACAGATAATTGTTATTTAAAAATGAACAGATGAATACGGGGAAGAAAGCTTACGTTTTAAAACAGGGGTCTCCTGACATAAGTTGTGTGGTGATGACAACCTACAACAGAAAAGAAAATGAACATTAATGTCAGTTTCAGACTGACTGGACTTGTGAGACGGAGAAAATGGCACAACTTTCCAGTGTAGTGTGGTTTCACAGGGTTGCTTTCAACTAAAGTTTGGCAAATGTAAGTTGATTGTAAGTCTGTGCCCCAAGAAGAATCTGCATCTATAAAACCTGTTCCCATGGTTCAGACAGTTTAGAGATCATGGGCTCAGACATGTCCTATTAGCTCTCAGGACATTCCGCGTTTCCAGCCATGCCATTATTCCAACTCTGTCACACACAACAATGTCTACTGCTGCTGGTAAACTAAAAAAAAACTGGTGACATTTTTGCAAGCAGAGGCGTTAGCCACCGATCAGACAGAGTGCATTTTGCAGGTTGCAAAACTACAATAAAAAAAAAAAGCAGCTTGTGCACCTTTTTTATTGTTAATAGGCAACTACAGAATCACTGTCCGTAGCCTAACTGCTATTTAAACATCTTGTTTTATTTAGACATTTATATAAACAACACAATCATTTATCTAAACATAAAAAACTAGATATTTACTGTCTTATCTTCTTATCTAAGCATTAAAAATCATCAGTTGTCAGGCCTCGAATCACCAAACTGACCACCAGTTACATAATCATTCTGTCCCGCCTAGCAGCTGAGTGTTTGTCCGTGGAAAGTTCACCTCTCAATTAACCTGATTGGACAATGGGGGAAAAAAACCAGACAATGATATTGGGCGCTTTTCTGCTTTGAGTTGAAATGTTTTCAACTGGAGGCACACCTGCAAAAAACACAAGGTGTTCACCAGTGTAAAAGCTGCAAGCAAAATGCTTCACTCTAATTGGAAACAATTACAAACAGCCACGCCGTGCTGGTATAATGTGCTCTGTCTCACTGGGGCCTTATGCTACAAGACTACATCACTGAACAAAACACTGCTGACAGTCTCTTTAAGACTCCTAAGGGCATTTTCCATACCATGTAAACGAGCATTTTGGAGCTGTGTGTTTCATCACAACATACCTTGAGAATTGAGTTGTCCTGTCTGGTGTTTTTTGTGTCATATCCTTCTAGTAGACACCGTCGTGT